GGAAAACATCACACAAGCCCACTGTTACGGTGTCCGCAATGCATGCTCTCTACTCCAGGCTAACCGCAGGCGACAGTGAGTTGCAGTAAGTGGAACGCATCTGACAGGTCTACGAGCCATATAGACCAATCTGCCCTAAGCGTCTGCACACGGTCTGCCTTGAAATTGTCGTACCAGTGGCTGAAGAGAGCTGACGAGACAGGTCTGAGGCTGTGCTCCGCCTGTTTCTTTTGGCAGTAACTGCCAAATACCGGTCCTCATTCGGCGTTGTAACTCTGGGGGGACCTGTGCTGTAACGTTTACTCACATTACCATCATCTTGGAATCGTTGCCAAAGCCTGGAGATGACACTCTGGGCAATTCCAAGTTCGTCTGATACTTCCAGTTGGGTACGCCCACATTCCAGACGGCCAATAATTCTACCTCGTAAAAAATCATCCAAATACGTTTTTTGTGTCATAATTATTCGGTTATTGCAATGAAATGCTTATAAAGCGCCTGCGAACAATTTTACTTCTTTGCCTGTATTCCTTATATATCACACTCTTACACTCTCGTCATTCTGACGTACCATCAGTGTCATCTGGTTACTTCCTGAAATTTGCATATGATTCTTGAAGATGTGTTTAGTGATTTTACAGGTGATATATTTATTTTAGAGTTCGATTTTCGCGTGACTTCGAATTATCCTTAATTTATGGACATGCGTGTATTTCAGTTTTTACAAAAAGTGTTAAAACAAAGAACCTAACACTCAGAGTCGAATACATAAACCTACACATGCGTGTCTGCAGCAACTTTGGGGATATAAAGCGTAGTGTTTTCAACGACTTGTGTGTTCGTATCCCTTCATTATATATTCGCCGTGTTTCTAGTAAGAATTTTAATAAGATTTCAGGTAAAATAAGCAGCCACGAATGTATGGATGAAGGAATGAGATGGACAATAGTCAGTAGATTGGAGGTACGGCAATCATAAGTGCAGGTGATTAAAGAGCTCAATATTATGCCCCGGTGTCGTCTGTAGTTTGTGGAAACAGTTTCAGGACGCTGGATCCATATCGAGAGATCCTGGAGAAAGTCGATCAAGATCCATAACGGCAAATAAAGATTGTTATTTGGCACTTTCCAGAAGGCGACACAGATCTGCTACAGCTGCATTTACGTGAGCTGTATGCTGCCCCTGGAACCCGAGTTTCTCAGTGTTCAGTCACCCAGCGGCTTCAGCGGATAGAGCTGTATGTCATGTGTCCTACTCACTGCAGCCATAATGAGCTGGAGAACTAAATTCCTGAATGTCACGCTGCAGCCCACAAAAGAGCGTGTTTAGCGTGGTGCAGACAACATGTACCTTTGACCAGACTTCAGTGGAGCACTTGTAGAGACATCAGGTAATTTTGAGGCGGGAGAGATGAAAAATTAGCAAAGCTTTCGCCGGGAATCGATTCACGGACCTCTGGAAATACGCGCCCAGCATGCAGACCACCACACCACAAAGGCATGCCAAGAAGGCGCGAGAAATACCTTATACACTGTCCTTTTTACAGATGAGCAGTACCTGTATCTGGAGAGATATTTGGAACATGATATCCTACCTTTCTCGTTAGGGAAAAGGATCATTACGGTGGAGGTGTAATAATTTCGGCATGCATTATGTTAGGTGGCTGTACATACCAGGCTATGAAGTATAGAGGAGATTTTTAAGTCCTATGTTCGACTTTTCAGGGGGGCAATTGGTGCTGGGTTCCTGTTAATGGACAACAACGATGGTCCACATAACGGATCAAATGGTCAACAATCACCTAGAAAGTGAGGATATTTTCCACGTGGATTGGGCAGGCAGATCACCTGCCCTTAACGTTATAATGCACGTCTGGGAAATTCCCGAGAGGGCAATTTTCTCTAATAGAACCAGTGCAAAGTTAAAAACTATCTTTCTGCAGAAGTGGATCGACTACCACAGGGACTCCTGTCCACCATCACAGTGCGCGACCTACCTGGCTGTGAGAGGGGACCATGTTAAAATGTATAACACCAAATTTCATTTAAAATCTGTCCATTAGGTTTTCAAAAATTCCACAAAATATGAAAGTTCTCTTAATTTTGTACATGAGCGTATTTAAGAGACTTTACAACTGATTTCTGCATCGGTGGATTTTATTGTTATCAATGGTATTCTATTGGATTCTTCTTTCCATGTAGAAATAATGACTGAGGGGTTTTCATTTTCCGATTTACACCGTTGCTTGTTTTGCACTTAGAAATTTTAATATTGTGCATTTCACAACGTTTTTGAATTGTGGAACAGGACTCTTTGAAAAGAGTAAAAACATATCCTTCAAACCACAACTTGTTTGCATGCGACATTTTGAAAGAAGAATAAATTTAAAAGCAGCAGACGATATTTCTCTTTTCAGGTAATAAGCTGTTACCAGAAATTTTTATTCAAATATATTTGCTTTATTACATTCTTTATCGAAATCGTTCTAGAAATGTGTAAACATCCTCTTTTATCTATACCCACCGAAGACACTAAAAGAAAACGAAAATTGTCTATATTCAACTAAACATAAATTAACATACTCTAAAAAATTACGTATTTAATACACAATTTGAAGTTTTATTTACATAGCATCGAAATTATGTCAGTAAAGATTTAAAGATTAAAAAGAATTAAAAAGAATAAGTAGAAACAACGTTTTTGCAATATTACAAGATGCCCTCGGGAGGAAATTCCTAGGTACTGGTTGTGCTGCTCATATCGTTCACAACGCAATCCAAGCAACAGGGGATTGCTCGCAAATTTATGTGGAAGCAGTTATGAAAATTTATTATTATTTCTATATCTATACTGTTTGTGTTGAATCATTTAAATAATTTTGCGAATTTGCCTGTGTAGAGTACCAGCGCAATTTAGGATGTGGGAAAACTAGATGGTTATCACTGATGCCTGCAGTAGAGAGAGTTAAAATTGTTTCTTGCACTTTCTTGTAAGAACGGAAGTGCCCCACCCTAATCCGCAACTTTTTTGAGAATTCCTGTGCTAAATTGTGGCTTTATTTCGTACATAATATCGCTGCGGTGACCTTCCTTGATTGTACCAATTATTCACCACCTTTGATCTTCACTTAAATTATCCCTTTGAGCCATAACTACTGAATTTTTCTCTGAAAACTTAAAAGTTTTCATAATGTCTTTTAAGTTTAAATTAAAATACATTATTTAATGATTAATTAAACATGTTAAAATTTCTTGAAAGAAATGTCAGTCTAAGAATTTATTTAACTGTAAATATATTTGAATTACAACGTGCAACCAATAAAAGTGTTTCTGAGGTATCCAACTTTAGATTTCAAATAGAAAATAATTATACACTTGAATTTTTCCCTTTGCAATATTATTATTATTACTGTTTATGTATTTTTTTATAAATATTTAATAAGAGATATTACTTTTTTTTAATATTGTTATGCTTGTTTCATTTGGTGAAAAAAATTCTGGAAATGTTTCCATCCATTTTGTTATACAAAACTAGCCCATTAGCTGTTTTCAGATTGTTCCATTCATCCTGGAGACCATTGAGCTAGATTACAGAGTTACGCAAATGAAAATGAAAGCACATTTGCCATACTATACACAAGCATTAAGAAAGTTAAATCCAAACTCCAAATGCCTAAGTTAAATGAGACAGCAACTCATCAGAATATTTTAAAAATCTGGATCATCCCCCCCCCTCGTAAGTCAAATACCATATTTATATAAAACAAACAGAACTTATTTTTTATTTGCTACATTTTATTTCAAAAAGATTAAAAGAGCTGAGAAATATTTCTTTCTAAAAGATATTACAAAACATTTTTACAAAATTAGATCACTTTTTTAAATTATTATTTAAAGCAGAATTTAAAATTCTACACATACCTTGTTCCTATTTTTACTACACTAAAATTAACAAAGAAATGTATTTTATTCGTAAAAACAAATGCTTAACTGCCTCTTCTTATTCAACTAAATTTTTTTAGTAGTGGTTAATACATTTTTTTCAAAAATAAGTACTATACTATTACTTTATTAAGAAACAAAACGTAAATAAATTAAAGCTGACTTTTACATAGAATAGGGAAAAGAAAAAGTGATTCACTGGAATAAATGAAGTTCCAGTGAATTGTTGTGGCATTTTTAAAAGAAAAAAATAAATGCAAAGTTTTTAGAAATATAATATAAAACAACGTTAAAATAGCCTAATTATACCGCATAGTACAGTTGCCAACCCTGAAATATAAAAACTTGGGAGGATTTTGCATTGCATAGTGATGTGACTTCGAAAGGACAAATCTGACAGAAGACATTTCTTTTGTAATGTTTGTAAATATTAACATTTTTATGTCATTTCATAGCATGAAATCAAAACAATTAAATAATACATTATTTGATTTTAGTATAAAACATATTAAATTAAAATTTAGAAATAAATTTATAAAATTAAGTTTGTCAAATTTCATTAAGTTTCCAATTTCATACTGATGGCCAAGTAGGAAAGTAAATAACTTCTGACATATTAAAATAGTTCAGATGAAATAAAAATTTAACAAAATCATATTGAAAAATCACTTGGAAAAATTAATTTAATTTGCATAATTTAACTTTCACCAAGATATGAAACAACTGCATTGTGTGTGTGTGCAGGGTTTTTTTTTCCCTCTCTCATCAAAGAGTACTTTCTTTTGGCATTTAAAAGCGAACAGCTCTTCTAGATGTATATAAGAGATGATCTAAATTCGATAAATTAAAAATTGAGATATTTAGAGCCTTACTAAAAGAGGTAATGAAAAAGTAGGACCTTCCAGTTTTATCAGAAGATTTAGAGAAACTCTGAGCATGTTATGTATGAGTGTAAAAAGAATGTACTACACATTCATACATAACATGCCCAAAGCTGCTGACTCTTCAAGGTAGTAAAATATGTAATACAAGACAATGAAATATAATAATAAGACAATGAAAGATATAGGTACTTTGTTTATTCACTTGCTTTAGGAATAAAGGGATTTATTTTAAGCGCAAATCCTTGCTCTTTGAGCGTAGCTTTTAGTTTTTTCAGTCTTTTAATTCTTCTGGCTTTACTTTTCTCCATATCTTCAGCTGATCTCATTCGATTTTGTCTCCAGCGATTTTTATCGCACCTCAAAGGCATTCTCTTCTTCCAACCACTGAAAGTATCAGGATGCAATTTATCTTGAGGGACAAATTCACATTTCAATAATTTTTCAAAAAACAAATAGTTGTTCATTGCTTCAGCAACAGTTTTTGCAACTTCTTCTGACTCAAATTCTATGAAAGCAAAACCCTTTGACCTTCCAGTTTTGGAGCTTCTGGCTAGACGCATACGAAGGACCCTCCCAAATTGTCTGAAATAATTCAAAAGTTCTTTTTCATAAAAGCCATGTGGTATGTGCCCAATATAAACTGTTCCGGGTTTAAAGTCTTGCGCTTCTTGAACTTTCTTTTTTGACTTTTTCAATTTCTTTGCTTTAGGTTTTGCAGACTTAGTTCCATCTTTCGGTTTCTCTGTCTTAGCAGCACCTTTTGCTGAACCTTTCAACTTCTTTCTCACATTCTCCACAAATGTATTCATCATATTGAATTACTAAATAAAAATAATATAGAAGATTAAGATGGCATTAAAATAAAAGGTAATGAATGAATCAATAAATAAACTTTTTATAAAAATTTCAAACAATCTACTTAAAAATTTTTATTTAAATAGTTGCATAAATTTGAAAATAGGTAATTTATTCATACAAGTCAGTTGTTACAACTTAATATATTTCTCAATCAAAATTAATCTTAAAATCCTAGCTCGCCCAGCTGTTATTTGATAAAGCATAACAATACATTTAGTACAAAAAACTTTTGATGAAAATAGGTTAAAGCACTTAATGACAGATAAACAAATTTTTCTCACTTATTATGCCATTTTTTATGTCTGCAAATGCTGCAGCAATATTTTGAGTACAACTACAGTAAAATGCTTCAAGCCGTCAAGCTTTATAAATGAAGGAACAACAGAAATAAAATCAATAAAATCATATAAACATAGATGAGGATCTAGCTACTTTTTCAGACAATACAATGCTATAAAACAGTAGGTAAAGTTTCGGAACTAAATAATTTTTCTATTTTTTTAATTGAATACAGATAGTAAAAAAAAAATAAAATAAACCATTCAGAAAATCTAAAAATATATAAATATACTACAGATTCACAGTTGATAAATCAAAACACAGATAAATGAAAAGGAGATAAGAATTATAATTTATTATACACAAATAAGTACGATACAAAATTGTTGGTTTTTAATTTTCTAAAAAAAATGTATGTAAAATAAGTAAAATATTTCAAACAATCTTAACTTTCAGGTCTTGAAGTCGACCTATTAAATGTATCATGTTTTTAATCTGTCCCATAAGTAACATTGTATAACTGAGGTTTGACTTTGCTGCAATTTTCAAGTACTAATTTTAAATTAATATTTTAATATTTTGCATAGACCCATTATACTTAAAACAGTATGATTTCACCTTTCCAAACTTTACATTATTGCACATGCTCTGACAAAAACACAAGACAGATGACTATTCAAAAGTATTTTTTATATTACACTTTGGACTATTTTTACTAATTTTATAGTTAATTATGGTATAAAAGATCCTTATTATTATGTATGAATTATATGAAAGGCCACACAGAAATAAAAAAAAATTATCACGCAAAAATATATATTATTCTTGAAGAGTGTACAACAGAAACCTTATTTTCCATACTTAAGCATTTTGCTATGAAAAAATATTCTTCCCTTCCTTGCAAAAAAAGAAATTCAGAATGCTATGAAATTAACTGCTTGTTTTTAACCTGGTGAGTGATATACACACATACATATATATATGCAATGAAAGCACAACTTTGGAAGCACTGATGTTAAGAACACAGAGACGTAGAAGGGCAGCAATGTTGTTTAGTGTAATTACTTGATCCATATTAAAGAGGAACAAGTTGAGCTGGATTAATTTCCTTTTTTATTTAAATTCAAATTTGTGGCGGCAACTCACTTGGCACTCCAATTGTACCTATTTACAGAACATTTACATTTTTGATACTATGGCAATAGAAGTGAGCATAGCAAAACATCCACATAGTTTTGGTTTACAATTATTTGATTGGGCAAGAGGTATCTGCATTAAGAGTTATGTAGGATTGCATGATTAATTTGAATGACATAGTTCACAGTTATTGCACTATTTTTAATATAGAGAAATGAAATACTCAAATTAAATAAAAAATAATAGGTTACAGCCAATTAAAATTACAAATTTGCAAAGAGAAAAAGGCGAAGCGATAGAGAAGCCCTCTTGAGATAAAAAGTATTAGAGCAGCAAAATATGAGAGCAATAATTCTGAAAACATAAAATGTAAGATATAACAAAATACGATGGCTGCTTTAAAAATAATCAGCGACCTCAAAATTAATTATTCTAGATTTGGTACTCTTCTCGAAATTCATCTATCCTCCCAAATTCAAGATCTTCCCATGTTATGTAACATTGGTTGAAAAAGATAATTAAAACTAAAATTAACCAATCACAGCTTATCTCTATAATTGCATCTACTTTGGTATAAATGCAGTTTGTGGTGATGTAATTAAACAAGAACAGTCAAATTCAAATACAAAAATGTGGACTAGTGGTCAAAGACTATACAAATTAATTTTAATTTAAGCTGGCTCAATTACTCTATCGTCATAACAAATTCAAATGTCAGCAGTGATAATGCAAAGACAAAAAGTTACAAATTATCAGAGCTGGCAGGAAACTAATGCAGCGAGCAAGCGGAGATTAAAAACACATTAAGCGGAGATTATCTTACAGACCAAAAACCTCAGTCTAAAAACTGTCTACGTGATTTGCATTTTGAGGAGGAAATAGAAACGGGAAATTATAGTAAAGGCTGAAATTATAAACAACTGGGTAATTTACATAATAATACCCGTATATGTATTTAAAGAATAATTTTCTTTTTCTGTATGTATTCGGTTTCCTTCTTCAACACGCTTCCTTTTCATTTTAGAATTTTTGGATTTAATTAAAGATTTCTGTTATTCTAAAAAACTAAGAAATTATGTATAGAAAAAGCTGCTAATTTTATTTCTTTGGTAATATGAACAATCAGAAGAAATATGAAATATATATGGTAAGGGCCAGTTGCAGAGCTGGTGTGACAGAATTTTTAGAATTTAGTGACACACCGAGCAACAAAATCTAGAAATGGCAAAACTTAATATTTAGAGCAGGCACTGGAAGCAGAATTTAGAAAGGCACTAGTCAGCAAAATTTAGAATCTACAGACATACGTTTAATATTCCACGTGATTGCACCAGGTGGGAAAATGCCTAAAGTCACCTGTGTATGATGCATTAGGACATATTAGTTGAATCTTTTAAATTGCCAGTTTCAATTTCTTTATTAATAAAAAAATTCCAGTCTATAATACCTGTCCATGTGATACGATTAGAAGCATTTTTAATATTTTCCATGTTTGTGTCTAGTGAAAAGTATAAAATAAAGGAAAGATAAACATGTTAAGAAAAAGATTCTAGTATCAAAAATAAAACACTCAAATATTATGTTTTCATTGATCTTCCAGATGTTCTCCAAAAAGTAAGAAATTCATTGCAAACTTTCTCTAAAATACATCCATTACGTGATAATACCATAGAGACATTTTTCTAGAATCTTCTGGAATGTTTAAAAAAAATCGTCGAAAAATTCCCAGATCTTGGAATTAAAAATTTTCTATAGAAACTGATCTTAAAAATAGCCAAAATGTTAATAAGTCGCCAAATTTATAGCCTTTAAATAAAAGAAATCACATCCCTAAAAGCGGAAAGTTGTTTAAGAGCTCTTCATTAGAAAAAGTGAAATAATGTCGAAATACTTGTTTCACGTCTTGCTCAGAAACTCGAGAATCCTACCATTTATATTAGAAATAGGAACAAATCATAATCCATTCAAATAACCATATTTATCAGTGAATCACCAAAAATATACCTCCAAATTGCTAATTCACACTCAAAAAGGCAGTCATAAAAACAGACAGAAATTTCACATGATTAAAATTAAGGACTTTCTGCCGATTTTGGTTGAAATTAAAGACTTTTAAGGACTCTTAAGAACCGTACGAACCCTGTTATACTCCTCAAGGGATAATGGGAATTCAGACAAGTTAATAAAAAAAAATTATCTTTAAAAAAGGTTGTTATTTTGTCTGCAATCAGGTATAAGTTAACTTACTATTAAATGTATGAGAATTAGGATTGGATTATGGAAAAGCACGCGAATGCTATCTGCTTATGGGGATGAATGTTTTTGTGTAAATCTTTTTACAAGAAAATTGCTCGCATTTACGTTCCTGGTGGGAAAACTCCACATGTATCAACCTTGATTGGATTAATTTTGTTCGCTTATTGAATTACATGAAAGCACACAACAATTATCTGTATAAGGGGGAGGGATGCCTTTGTGGAGGACTTTCTAAGGGGAGCTGGCTTGTATTTACGTTACACAAAAACCATGAATCCAACCCTTTAGCCGGGATTCAAACCCGAGTGAGCTACAAGTGTTCAGCCACCTTTACCGCTCTACTGAAGGGCCCGTAAAAAAATTGGTAAAGAAAAAGTATTGAAATAACCGGTTTAATTTACTAACCTATATTTCTTAATCGATAGTACATAAATTAGGCATATGAGGGGATTATTTGTGAATAAAATAAACTGTATTGCACTTTTCTCCACTATTTCATATTACGATGGAATTATTGCATTTCAAAGTTATTTCTTATGAATTAAGTTTTCTTTGTTCATGATTTTTTATTTTTCAAAGAGATTTCACACTTTAAATAAAAAATACACGAGAAGATACTTTATGCAAAATTTGGCATAAACAGTTTTCTTAATTTTGCTTTGAAAATATTCCAGGGTAATCATTTTCATTACTGGAAGAAATACGAAAAAAAGATTTACTACATTGTACGCGTCAACACTCAATATGTCCCTATTCTTTTGAAAACGTGAAAGATTACTCTTTCCAAAATAAATTAAAAAATATATTATGTGCAAATAGAATATTTGTTGAAAATGAAATAGACTTCAACCTTTGGATATAACGATGGTTTTAGATGAAATTTCTACCTATGAAAGGAAATTGATGTATAATTCTTCATGAACCTTTAAAACTGTTCTGAAAAATACTTTTGATGATTGCATGTAAGTCACAGATTGTTTTTCTCTGCTAACATAAACAAAAGCCAATTTTACAAAGAAAAATTCTCGTTAAAAGATATACCTCCTTTGCCTGATAGTCCAATGTAATATTTGTTAGCCGGGATTTTCATTTAACTCACTTCACATTAAGTTAAATGAAACGCAACCAATGTATTTCTGATTTTCTTTTGTATATTATAATAACAAAATTATCGAAAAAAGCAGATTTAAAGCTCTGTTATTGTTATGTAAAGCTTTATTACTGCTGTAAGTTCATCTCAAAATATAATTGTATTGAATATCATTCTAATCATCTAATAGTAATAAATATT